AGCTGCTTTACTTTGGAACCAGCTTTATGTTACTATGCCTGGGAAAGTAGTGGAAGATGGCCTGTGGGATTGGGTCCCTGCCAGCCTGTCCAGCCCCAGCCATTGCAGTCACTTGGCAAGTGAACCAGAGGATGGAAGATTCTCTTGGCATGCCAGCTTTGTATTGCCACATGATACCCTTCCCTGGTGTACTGATGCAGCAAGAAGTTGCTCATCAGGTGCCAATCAGAGGCTGGTGCCAGCCTGCAGCACTGTGAGCCAAACTGCCTCTGACCTCTATAAACCTCCTGATGTTGGCACTCCTGTTGGCACAGGGTGAAGAGGCTTCAGGACACAGGGCGGTAGCTCTGAGTCTTGGGACCCACTCTGCTCTGTATGATTTTTGTCTTGTTTTGCCTTTATTTTTTCCTGGCATAGTCTCTCTCTCTCTTACACACACACACACACACACACACACACACACACACACCAGGCAAGGGGATGGCATCTAGTTCCTTCTGGAAGGGTGGGAATCAGTGTGGTTTGCTCAAGGCTGGGCTTGGATGGCCCAGCAAGTGGTCCCTCACTGGTGTGCTTGCTGGCCCCTGCGGTGAGTGAATGCACATAAAGCTCTGGCATTTGGGGCCTCTGATTCTCCTGGTCGGGAAGCCAGTGAGCACGTGAGGAGCGCATGTGCCTCTCCGGGACAATAGCAGCCGGCACGTGCCGCACACTCAGCACTTCATGATTCCCTTTGTCACCTGGGGCGGGGTGTATTCTTGCGTAGCACACAGTATCACCACCACCTTGTTTTACAGATGAACACAGCTAGCCAGTGGCCAGGCCAGGGTTTGGCACAAGCATCCTGACCCCTCGATTCAGGGCTGCAGTGGGAGAGGCAGGAACACAGGGAGGGAGGAGAGCTGCTCTGCTCTGGACTCGGGCCGGCCAGGAGCCCGTTCATCTATGCATTCACAGAGGTGGCTCGGGACCCAGTGGTTACAAGTACCTCCTGGGGCTAGCGCTGTGGCAATGCAGGTGTAGCTACCCTCCCGTTTGGGATGTTTATGACATGGTGTATCAGTGAGCTGGTTCAAGTCCTGGCTGCTCCACTTCTGGTCCAACTCCCTGGGAAAGCAGCAGAGGATGGCCCAGGTCCCAAGATCCCTGGCATCCATGTGAGAGACCCAGATGGAGTTTCAGGTTCGTGACTCTAGCCTGGCCCAATCACGTCTCTTATGGCGGGGGAGTGAACCAGTGGATGGTAACTTTGGCTTTCCGATAATACCAATTGTAAAGTCTGAAGAGCATAACTGAAAGTACTTCCTTTCTGCCAGACCCTGCCTTTGCCTCTGAATGAGGTTACATTGCATACAGCTTTGGAGGGGTGCTGTGGTTGGGCTGTGAGTGTGGGTGTCCCCAATGGTCACATGCTAAAGGTTCCACCCCTGAAGTCCTACATTAATGATGCTGAGAAGGCGGAGGCCGAGACCAATTCTGACATGCAGAGGTAGGGCTCCGGGGAGTGACCATGGTGGATTAGGCTGTTGGGGTCAAATCGTCAGACACCTGGAGAGGCACAGAGACAGCTGTGCGCTCCTCTGGGCTGCCTGGGGACTTTGCAAGGATGGCCATCCCTGGGGGGCCACTTAGGAGCCTGCACAGCTGTGAGCCAGCAGCTGCCTTCCTTGTGGATTTCACTGTCATAGGAAAAGCTGAGAAACACAGTGGGCAGCAAGCATCCACCTTCATCCTCCCCGGGCCTGGCTGAGCCCAAGTTCAAACAGGTAAAAGATGGTAACATAAGAGAAACGAAAAGTCATATAGATTGCCTTTAAAAACTTACTGGAAAGGCAGGGAATGTGTGTGAAATTGCCCACCAGCTGGTTCACTCCCCAAATGTCCAAACAGCTTCTCAGCTTTGAATCCTCATCTCAGTGGGGCAGGACAGACCCAGGAATAAGGGTGAAGATATGTAGACCCAAAACACAGGGAACTCAGTCCAGGTTTCCCAGGAGTGGAAACGCCACTGCTGCTGCTGCTGGGGTGGGGAGCGGGTTCTCAAAGCCAGACACCTCGAGTTGCATCTGAGCCATTTCTTCCAATGTAAGACCCTAAAAGTTTGTTTGCTTCTTTCTTTTTTCCCTCCCTTACTCCCTCCCTCTCTTTTTCTTTCTCTCTCTTGCTCTTTTTGTCTACCTGCCTTCCTTCTTCTACTTCTTTTTTATTTTTTGAAGATTTTTATTTTCATTGGAAAGGCAGATGTACAGAGAGGAGAGACAGAGAGGAAGATCTTCCATCCAGTGATTCACTCCCCAAGTGGCTGCAACAGTCGGTGCTGTGCTGATCTGAAGTCAGGAGCCAGGAAATTCTTTCTAGGTCTCCCACGTGGGTGCAGGGTCCCAATGCTCTGGGCTGTCCTCGACTGCTTTCTCAGGCCACGTGCAGGGAGCTGGACGGGAAGTGGAACTGCCGGGATTAGAACTGGTACCCATATGGAATCCTGGTGCATGCAAGGTGAGGACCTTAACCGCCACCCTATTGTACCAGGTTCTCTTCTTCTACTTCTTAAAGATTTTAAAATTTTTGTTGCAAAGACAAAGTTACAGAAAAGGAGAGACAGAGAGAAAGAACTTCCATCCACTGCTTTACTCCCCAAATGGCCACAATGACTGGATCCAAGTTGATCTGAAGCCAGGAGACTCCCCTCTCCCACACAGGTGCAGAATCCCAAGGCCTTGGACCATCCTCTACTGCTTTCCCAGGCTACAAGCAGGGAGCTGGATGCGAAAAGGAGCAGCTGGGACATGGACTGGTGCCCATATGGAATGTCAGTGCCTGAAAGGCAAGAATTTAGGCCCTGAGCCATTCATTGCACCAGACCCTAAAATTTCTTGAAAACAAGCTCCACAGAGCTGGGAGCCTGCTGTTGTGATGGAAGACCCAAGAAGCAGCTGGTTATTTCTGTACTGAACTGGACAAGGTGAGAAGCTACTGTAAGGAGTCAGATGGGAGAGTAGACACTTAGCGTCTCTGGTCCCTGGTGAAGTTATCTTTCTTTTGTTGTTGTTGTTAAGATGTATTTATTCTTACTAAAAAGCCAGATTTTCAGAGAGGAGAAACAGAAAGATCTTCCATCTGCTGGCTTACTCCCCAAGAGACCACAATGGTGTTTTTCAGACCCCTCTGATGTTTCTACATTCTGCCGGGGACCTCTAGATCAACCCATGGAAGAACACCCGGCTGCTGCTGATCCTTCAGCACCCCCTTTCAGCATGAAACAGCTGGAGCATTCGTTGCCCTCTGCCCCTAACAGTTAGGGTCCATTCTTGTGGGGGAGGGGAAATGTGAGGAGTCAGATGGGATAGTAGGAGGTTAAGGTCTCTGGTCCCTGGTAAAGTTACCTTTTAAAATGTAACATCAGTGCCCAGCACAGTGGCCTAGTGGCTAAAGTCCTTGCCTTATATACCCAGGATCACATATGGGTGCCGGTTCTAATCCCAGCAACCCTGCTTCCCATCCAGTTCCCTGCCTGTGGCCTGGGAAAGCAGTCGAGGACGGCCCAAAGCCTTGGGACCCTGCACCTACTTGGGAGACCAAGGAGAGGCTCCTGGCTTCTTGCTTCAGGTTGACTCAGGTCTGGCCATTGTGGCCACCTGGGGAGTGAATCATTGGACGGAAGATCTTCCTCTTTGTCTCTCTTCCTCTCAGTATATCTGCCTTTTCAATAAAAATAAATAAATCTTGAAAATAAATAAAATAAAATGTAAAATCGTGCGTTTCCCCATTTCTCACCTTTCCAAGAGCATATTCTCCCTTTGAAGGAGAGCTGAGGACAGAATCGATGTAGCAGTTCCCTGATGCCCTCTGGTTCTGGACAAGGTGCTACATCGCTGCCCCTCGAATGAGTTTTCTTCTCGTTTTGTCCTTTCGTCCCATCTGACAGGGTGTCTGAGACACCATCGCCACTGTTTCTTGGGGATCTTTCCTTGCTTGGAGCCCCCTCCTGTCACTACAAGAGGGGCCTGCGTTCTCTTTCCTAAATAAATCTTGCTTTGCAAACTAGAGTTGTCTACAGGAAACTTCTTCTTTAGTGTAAGACAAGAAACGAGACTGCTGCCGTGTTTCGTGTCAGATTCCGGGCAACCTTGCCACACCTTATCAGGGGAAGCTTGCAAGAAAGGAGAGAAAGATCTTTCATTTGCTGGCTCACTCCACAGGCAGCCTCAATGGCCAAAGCTGAGAGGATCCTCTGGGTCTCCCACGTGGGCGCAGGGGCCCAAAGCCTTGGACCATCCTCTACTGCTTTCCTCGTCCATAAGCAGGGAGCTGAATGGGGGAAGTGGAGTAGCCAGGACACAAACCGCAGCCCATATGGGATGCTGGTGCTGCAAGAAAGAGGATTATACTGTTGCACAAGATTCCCCCCCCCCTCGCCAAAGGAGTTGTTTTATTGTTTTAGCAGTCAGATCGGAGTTTCCTTGCGACTGAACTTGAGCACCGGGTTCTCTCTCTCTCTGAACTTGAGCACCGGGTTCTCTCTCTCTCTCTCTTTCTCTCATGATTGGAAAGTCAGATTTAAGGAGAGAAAGATCTTCCATCCACTGGATCATTTCCCAAATGATTGCAACAGCTAGAACTGAGCAGATCCGAAGCCAGGAGCTTCTTCCGGGTCTCCCACGCAGTGCAGGGTCCCAAGGCTTTGGGCCGTCCTCGATTGGTTTCCCAGGCCACAGGCAGGAAGCTGGGTGGGAAGCAGAGCAGCCAGGATAGGAACCGGCACCCACATGGGATCCCAGAGCAGGCAAGGTTTAGCGCTAGGCTATCACGCAGGGCCTCCATCTGTTTTTAAAGCCGGAGTGCACTCGCAGGACAGGGAAGCTGGAGTAACTGCAGTGTGGCGCAGGCTAGGTCCACTGGGTCCTTTGGCACTGGGGCGGGGTGTTGGAAGGGGTGGGGCCCCGGGCTGGCAGGGGCGGGCGGCAGGCGGCATCCAGCTGTACCCAGAGGCTGGGCTGGGAGCGCTGGCGAGGCTCTCATTAGTCGGCCACTCGGGGAGGGGCCGGGCCAGGTCACGCCATTAAACCGGCTCCGGTCTCCGCCGCCGCCGCGTTACCTCGCTAGTGCGACAGGTGGGTGGAGCGGTGGTTTTCTGGGGGAATGATAGCGAAGGGAAGACGCTGCGGGCGCCGCGCCCGGGCTCCGCTGACTGCCGGCCCGGAGCAAGTAAACAAGTTTGGCGAACCTCCCGCACACAGCTGTCCCCGCGGGCGGACAGAATCGGAGCGATCTCCCTGGCCGGGCTGGGAGCAATCGTTCCCCTTCCCAGCGCAGGGAGAGGTTGGCTGCTGTGGCGCGCGGGGTGGGACGGTCTTGGCACGGGGTCCCCGCCCCCTGTTACTGACATAATGAGTCCCTCCTCCCCGTGTATCAGGTGTTTGCGCTACGAGTTTACTGAGCCTCAACTTGAGGGTCCGAGTCCGGCACGAAGATGCGCGCGCCCATCGTGAGTACCAGGCCTGGGGCGGGCAGGGCGCGCAGGGATGGTGACCCGCAGCCTCGGAGCTTGGGTGTGTGGCCCGGGGTTGGTGCGTGACCGCCCAGCTCTCAGGTGTCGTCTGTGGTGTCCTGGCGCTCGGGAGGCCACCCTGCCTAAAACAGCACTCAGAGGAGCTGGGACGCTTGCAGCAGGGTCCGAGGTCAGCGGAGACAGGATCGGGGACAGTGGTACCAGCCTGGCGCTGCGGCTGCCCCAGGGCCTTCTCACTGGTGTCAGCTGACTCAGCTCCTGGCCAGCCCCGCCTTTTCTCTTTTTGACCCGGTCGTGCGTCTATGCACACGGTCCGGTCCCCAGTAGCCGGGCAGGACCCCAGCAAGCAAGAGCAACTTGGAGTTAGGTTTTGTGTTTTGATCAAGCACAGGGCCAGAAATGCTGGGAACAGTGCCAGGGGCGCCGAATGTGTCAGCGCTGTGTCACTGTCGCCATTCTTTCCATCACATGGAGAGCTTCAGCCGGGTGGATGACATGGTGTGTGTATCTGTAATATTTAACCCCCCCCCCACTGGCCCCTTTTGTTCTAGCCCTCGCTCCCCCACGTGGCAAAACCCGCAGCCACACTCGTGCAATGGATAGTAAACATGTCTGGGACAGAAAAGTCTGGCAGGAATCCACTGCCTTGAGCCCCAGCCGCTGCCTCCCGCTGGTGGGGGTGGGGGGCGTCTGCCTTAGCTGGGAGCTGGGTCCTTGATTTACGCCTTGGACCCAGGTGCTCCGCCGTGTGGGATGCAGGGGTCTGCCAGGTTCAACGCCTGTTTCATGGGAATGTGTTCTTGCATATGGGTTAGTCATCAGGACGGATAATTTTAATACTTAAGTTTGTGTGCTTTGGAAACTTGTACAAAGTTGCCTTTGACCTTGTCAGGCTGCATCTTCCTTGCATATTCACGTTGGGTACTGAATAGAGTTAGATTTCTCAATCCATCTTTGCCCACAGTTGGAGGAATAAATGTTTGTATCAATTTTGATTTTGAAAACTGCTGTTACATGAAGCAACAGTTCAGCAAGGCCTTGCGCCCTGGGATCGGACTGGCAGAGGTTTATTAAAATCCAATTTCATCATTCCAGACTTCACAACACTATTATGTGGTTTTAATTAAAAAAAAAAAATCAGTTCTAGCAGCTTCTAAATATTTCCAGATTCACAACCGTATCGCTAACATCAGCAGCATCAAATCCACCCCAAGTATGTCTTCTTGCTTGGCAAAATCCCCCAAGTTTCCCTTCTGCTGAAAAAGTCAGAGCCATCGAAGTGACTGGGTCTGTGTGTCAGGGACTCACTGTGTAAAGGACGCCCTCCATTTTAAGATGTAGAAGGCGCTATTTTAAAAAAAGGAACAGAAATAGCCTGCATGCCTAACACACAGTTAAAGAACCTAAAGAGAGCTTTGTGGCTGGCACAAGTCTGGGCTGTGGCTCCCGCCACCAGCTTCCTGCTGCTTCAGAGCCTGGGGCCCTGCACCGGGGAGGCCCCCAGATGGAGCGCTTGGCTCCCAGCTTTCATCTGACGCAGGTTCAGCTGTGGCGGGCATTTGGGGAGTAAAGTGGGTGACGATCTCTCCGTGTGTGTTTATTTCTGCCTTTCAAATAAATGACAGGAAAAATACATTTTAAAAATTTGCAAAAGAAAAAACAATGTGCTCTTTTGTCTAGAAACCATTGTCTCTGGGTGACTGCAGCAATTAGAACTCAGTTGGGGAGAGTGTTAACACCGGTCAGCACGGCCAGCACGCGGCAGTAGCCAGAAGCAGCCCGGTTTGGGTTGGAGTTTGTTGTTCTCTCGGTTTTCCACAGTCAGCTGGGCCCTGTTTGTTCTTCTCCCCACTTGCTGTTCCCCGGGTACATCCTGGGGAAGAGGCCACGTTCCCCTTTCATGCACCCATGATACCCATGATGTGGGCCGATCTGAGATGTCCCCTGTCTGGGGTTCCAGAGTGCCACAGTGGATGGGTTGGGACCTTGCCTTTTCTCCTGCTCCACCTCCCACCTTGGCCTCGCATCAGGAATTTGCTGGGCAACTACTGTGCGGGGTGGATGGGAGATTGGAACTGGCTCCTCCCTGTCTGGGCTGCATTGCTATCTTCTGAGCTTGCTGGGCCTTCTGGGTTGTCCCTGGACCCTTCTCAGGCAACAGTGTGTGTGTGTGTGTAGGGAGTAGGGGAGTGGCAGCTGTGGAAGGCTCCATCCTCACTCTGGAGGGGCCATTGGGAAGGGGTCTAGGGGCTGGAGAAGCAAGGCCAGTGGTGGTGAGGTCTGGCCTGGGTTTGATGCTTGCTTGGGACCAGAACATGGAGGTGGCTCAGACAAGCATTCGCCAACGTCCCAGAAGCAGGGCTGTGTGGGGTGCGGTGGTGGAGCCCTTGGCTGGGGTGCCTTCAGCTCCCTGCAGGGAAGTCCCTTCTCACATGCCTGCACTTCAGCCTGCTTTGTCATAAGTGCCCCCGCTCTTCCTCCAGGGGCTCTGAAGTGGAAGAAGCCAGCTTGGGGATTTCCACACTTGGTAGCAGACCAGGCTGAGTGCTGTCTCCGGATGGGCCTCACAGCCCCTCAACCGGGTCTCAGGGGCGAAGGCTCTGGGCAAGCTCTCCAGATCCACTTAACCGGCTTCCCCTGGCACGTGTTGGCTATAACGCTGGCACCCATGGGCTGCTCCTGGCTGGGTGCTGAGCGCTTTTCCGGGGATGTCCCTGGGGACAGTCAATGCTGTCATCATCTGGGGACAGTGAGGTGGGACAAGTTTGGGGGTCCGCCCAGGCAGAGCCTGCACAGCCTGGTGTTATTCCCAGAAGTCACAGCCAGCTCGTCCTAGAAGCGCAACACTCAGGCTCCTGTGGTCGCTCGTACAAACGCAGAAAACCCCCACACCCTGCGGAGACAGATGGGGACAGCAGGGGAGGAGAGGGGGCGGGGGCAGGAGCGGATTGAAATCTTCCTGAGTACCTTCCAATGAAAAGAAAATGCTCTTATAAAAATATATATATTTGACAGGCAGTGTGACAAGACAGAACGGGACAGAAAGATCTTCCCTGTGCTGGTTCACTGACCAGACTAGGGGCGAGGAGCTTCCCTGGGGGTGCAGGGGCCCAAGCACTAGGGCTCTTCTTCACTGGTGCCTTAGCAGGGAGCGCGATGGGAAGTGGAGCAGCTGGGACTCAAACCAGCACTCTGCAGGCAACGGCTGTAACGGGTTGTGCTACAATGCCAGCCACTTTTTGTTGTGTGTTTCAACCCTTCAGGGGAGAGCAGTTCTGCGTGTCCTCACTCCTCTCCCACTGCCCCCTTCCCCATCCTGTGCAGTGCCTATGCTGGCGGTATTGGCCGGGAGTGAGGCTGCCCTAGCGCGTCCCTCCTTGTGGACGTGGGGAAGGGGCTGTCAGATACAGATAGGTTGGGCACTTTCCGGCTGGCCCTCGGCAGGTGACTGCTGCTCCCCGGCCTTGGTGTCCCCACCTGCAAGGTGAGGTGTGACAGCCCATTGTGCTCTGACTACTCAGCCCTACTCTTCCCTTCCCACTGCTCCTCTGGGGCTCTAACTGACCAGCCACCTGGACATTTAAACAAATAAAAGGGGCCCGGCGCGGTGGCGCAAGTGGTTAAGTCCTCGCCTTGCACGCCCGGGATCCCATATGGGCGCCGGTTCTAATCCCGGCAGCCCCGCTTCCCTTCCAGCTCCCTGCCTGTGGCCTGGGAAAGCAGTCGAGGACAGCCCAACGCTTTGGGAACCTGCACCCGTGTGGGAGACCCGGAAGAGGCTCCTGGCTTCGGATCGGCATAGTATCGGCCCGTTGCGCTCACTTGGGGAGTGAATCATCGGACGGAAGATCTTCCTCTCTGTCTCTCCTCTCTGTATATCCGCCTTTCCAATGAAAAAATAATAAAAATAAATCTTTAAACAAATAAAAGAACCTGCCAGGCTTGGGTTCTACCCCAGGGCCCCTGCTCTGACATGAGCCCAGGAGTGCCCTGAGGTTCCTGCCCTCTGCCCGTCCATCTCCGAGATCCCTCAAGGCTGGGTCCTCCCCGAGCTCCTGCTCATGGGATCTGGGTGTTTCAGATCTGGATCGGAATTCTTTCTCCATCACATGCATGCAACTTCCCATCTCTGCTGGGGCTGCCTCTTTTGTGTGGTCCTCAGTTCCTCTCCTCCTCTTTGCTTTTTAATTAATTTATTTTTGTTGGATATATCTACAGAGAGAAAGAGAAAGAGAAAGATCTTCCATTTACTGTTTCTCTCCCCAAGTGATGCAATGGATGGAATTGAGCTGATCTGAAGCCAGGAGCCAGGAGCTTTTTCTTGGTCTCACACACAGGTGCAGGGTCCCAAGGCTTTGGGCCATACTCTACTGCTTTTCCAGACCACAAGCAGGAAGCTGGATGGGAAGTGGAGCAGCTGGAACACGAACTGGCACCATATGGGACCCTGGCACTTGATGGGGGAGGATGAGCCAGTTGAGCCATTGCAATGGACCCTCCTGTTCTCGCCCGAACTGCTTTAGCCAGGTTATGGTCAGGAATCACTGATGTCCCTGACCCCCAGCTGCTCTACTGGGCTCCAGGCTCCTGTACGCAGATGCTTCTCTGGCTGCCTGAGGAACACACTTTGAGCCCAGCTCTTCCTCAGCTGCTCCATGTGCGGCCAACCCACCTCAGCCTCCTGCTTGTGCAGGCCCCTCCTGGGAGCATCTGACTTCTGTCCCCTGCAAACCCACAGCCAGTGTTGGCTGCCCCCTCAGGTCACCTGGAATCTGTTCCTTCTCCCCAGCCCTGCTCCCAGCCCATCTTAGGCACAGCAGCTCCCTCCTAATGGGTGTTCTACTTCCTCTTTGTGCCTGCATATAATCTCAGCCAGAGAGACCTTAAAACCCCAAGTCAGACCAAGCCTCCCATGCTCCATACCCTGAGGGGTCCTGTCCATCAAAGCCAAGGGCCTCCAAGGGCCAGCAGGTGCTGCTGCCCCAACTGTGGCATTAGAGGGTGGCTTAACACACTGCACTGCAACTCCAGCCCTCATTTCGTGAACTTTTAAAGATTCCTTGTAGCTTGGAAACATATTTGTTTCCAAATGTACTTATCTTCTGATTTAATTTTCCATGAGCTTTTGGAAGTACCCTTGTATAATCCATTTCCACTTACATGTAGAAAATACATTTTAAGTGAAAATGGAATGCCATGTCTGCTTTCTCAGACCACTCCGTGTCTTCCCCATCAATCTGCCTTCCCCTTCTGACTGCCGTGTCTGGGGCTGCAGGCTTATTTGTGTTGCTGGTCCTTACTGATGGCTGTTGTGTCCCCCACCCCCTCCCTGCCACATCGCCCATAGGAATCTTTGCAGGCCAGCAACAACTCCTCCGTTTGCTTGCTAAGAAAAATGGTTGTTGTGCAGTTCTCTGTAAGCCTGCTTTTATGGAGGAGAGAATGACTTTTTGTTCTGGAATCCCGTGGGCGCAGTCTCATGCTGCTGTCACTGCCTGTGTTGCAGGGGAGTGCTTGCAGGTCGTGTGCTGATGGGGGCCCGAGTTCCCCTCTGTGAGGAGACCCCCCCAGACCCCAGCCTCCTCCCAGTCCTGAGCTGGGACAGCCTATAGCTGGAGCCCCAGGATGGTGCTGGGTTCATTCACAGCGGAAGCTGGCTAACTGTTTCTGTAAAAGGGTGGCACCCTCTTTCTCCTCTCTGTAAATCTACCTTTCCAAGAAAAATAAATAAACATTTTAAAAAAAGGGCGACACATCCAGTCCTGTAGGGCTCAGGAATATGCACGTAGCACAGCATGCCTGTGCCCTGATACAACTCTGTGGACACTGAAAAATTGAATTTCATGTGACACCAAATGATCTCTCTTTTTCCCTCCTTTTTTCTTTTTCTTTCCCTGTTTTTTTTTTTTTAATTTCCCCTTATCTTCTAAAAAATAAATAAATAACTAAATAAAAGCTGAAGTTGTTTTGAGCCTGCAGATGGTGCAAGCAGACACGAGCTGTTAGGTGCCTGGGCTGCTGTGTGTCTGCTTCTGGCTTGAGAATGGAAGTTTGGGATTTCTTGGTTTTGATTCAGCTGAGTCTGTGTTTGTGTGTGTGTGTGTGTGTGTGAGAGAGACACAGCCCTGGTAGCTGTGTGTGTGTGTATGTTAGCTGTATGTGTGTGTATGTTAGCTGTGTGTGTGTGGAGAGAGAGAGAGAGAGAGTCCAGGTGTCTGCTTTCTTCCTCTGCCTTCTTCTTTTCTGTTTAAAGATCTATTGATTTAGTCCAGATGTGAGGCTGCAGTGCAGTGTGCATCCCTACTTGCAGATCAAAGATAGACTACTAATGAAACTATTAGCTGTGCCTTGACAATGGCTGGACTCTGCCATTGTCCATGCCCACAATGATGAACATGTAACTGTTTATGAAGAGCTACGCTATAGTAATAATATAGGGGGATTCAGTGGGGGGAGGGGATTTGAGAAGGGGCAGGGGAAACCCAAGGGCCTATGGAACTGTATCATGGAATGATGATAATAATTTCAAAAGAAGTAAATATAAAATAAAAATTAAAAAAATGATTGATTGACACTTGAAAAGCAAAGTTACTGAGAAAGGAGATAGAAAAAGATATCTCTCATCCGTTGCTTTGTTTTCCAAGAAGACACAATGGCCAGTGCTGAAACCGGGAGCCAGGAGCTTCCTCTGGGCTCCCCAAGCAGATGCAGGGACCCAAGTGCGTCATCTTCTGCTTTCTCTGACCACCAGCAGGGAGCTGGATGAAGAACTGAGGTGCAGCACCTAGAACTTGAACTAGCGCCCAAATGGGATGCTGGAGCCACAGATAGAATTTCTATAATTTATTTGAATCCTAGAATTACAGAGAGTGAGCAAGAGAGAGAGAGAGGCTGAAGCCAAAAGCCAGGAACTTCTTCCTGGTCTGTCGCATGGATGCAGGAACTCAAATACTTGAATACTTGGGCGATCCTGCACTGCTTTCCCAGGTGACTTGGGAGTGGAGACACCAGGATTTGAATAGCTACCTGCCTGCCCCTCCACAGTGCCAACCCCACAGATGAAATCTTAACTTGCTAAGCCACTTCGTTGTTTTTCTAGTAAAATCTCATGGTGGGGTAGGCGGTGGGTGCTTAGACTCTTCCTCCTGACCCTGTCTTCTCCCTTGTGTGTGTGTGTGTGTGTTTCCTGTCTCACTGTCTCTCATTCCCATCCCCCCAGTGGCCACTGTGCTGTGGGCTTCCGGCGTGTCTTTGGTGAGCGTGATGCGTCTCTTGCCTGTTCTGTTTCCTGTGAGGTGTGTGCTGCTGGGTCAGGGGCGCTGAATTAATGTTTTCAGTTACCTTTGATTACCCTGACGTTGTCTTTTCTTGTTTAAGCAGGCACATTGTTTTTGGGGTGGTGGGAGGACAGAGTCATCCTTGTGGGTCTGGCCCACAGTGAGCCCCTAGGATGCGGGCACTCAGGCCACTGGGGACCCGAGAAGTGTTCCTGAAGCCCAGGGTTTCTTCCAATCCTCTCCCTGTCTAATCAGCGAGATCTCCTGGCAGTCTTTCCCTTTGAGAACCCTTGAAGACCTGCTCAAACTCAGGGCAATTCCGCGCCCCCCCTTTTGTCCTGGGAAACATGGGATTCATAAATGCTTGTCCATTTGCTAAAACAGGCTCTCAGTAGGAACTGGGCATCATGTAATGAGAATATGACTTGTCTGTAAACCTCCCGTGGAACTATTTTTTCCTTGCTGTATCTGGTGCCTGTTTATAATTTTAATGTTGCTATGAAACAACCAACGGCCCACCCATTGGCCCTGCATCAAAGGCATTGCAGAGCTCTGGTTAGCTCCTCCTACTGCTGCCTGTGACTTTTACCCCAGTGGAATCCTCCAGGCCCTGACCCTTGTCCCTGCGGTGGGCTTGGTGAGGCATGAAGGCAGTGCCTGTGAGGGTGGTGTTCCAGAGCCCCAACCCTGCCCATGCCTCTGCAGTGTGGGTCCTCCCTGTGGTTGGAGACTGGACGAGGGAGAATGGGCCGTCAAGAGAGGGCTTTCTCGCCCTAAGACTCAAGGCGGGCCTGGACCAAGGGCGGGCCACCTTGGATTCTGGTTGTAGTCGAGGTGGCCCCATGCCCAGCACCCAGCACAGGGTGTGACAGTTTCCGTTGGTGACACTGAGGGATGGAAATGATCCAGATCTTTGAAGTTTCCTCAGTGCTGTGCTCTGTGCTCCCAGCAGCCGGGCCTCTGGGAGGCAGGATGGTCCTTGTCCACCCTTTGCCGGCTCGTACCTGCACACTCAGGCCCACACGCACTGCCACAGCCCCGGGCACTGTGCACTGGCTGCTTGTGGTCCCCCTGGCTTGTTGGGCACACCTGCCTTTGGCCCTACACTGTTAGCTTTTATTGCCACAAACCCAAAGGCCAGATGCAATAAATCACTCAAGGAGGTCTTTATCTCAGGGCGGGAGGCAGCCTTGGGGTAGGAAGAAAGTGGGGAGCTGAGAGACTGAGAGCACCTTTATGGCCTCGGGGTCAGGGATTGGCGGCTGCAGCTGTAGGGGGCACCGGGGATAAATGCCTCAGAGGATGGATAGGTGAGTACCTGGTTCAGACCTGCAGGTCACTAAGCTTACTTAGGCAAGTGGGCCTTAGGAGGGCCAAGACCTAAGAGATTTACGGTAGTGCTGGATAAACAGGTATTCCAGGGGACCAAGGCCTGGCGCTGAGCCTAGGTTGGCGGGGTCAGTCTCAGGGTCACTGTTTTGAGTCGTTCCTTGCACACACCTGCACTCTCACCCATAACTGCTGAGGCTGATACCAATTCTCTATTGCGGCCTGAGACCACATAGAGGAATGTCCTTGGGATGCCCTTTAGGTTAGCAGCCCCCAGTGGGCAGCTTAAGTCAAATAGCCTGTGGCATTCACCTGCTGGTCAGTGTGTGTGTGAGGGGAAGATGGACCACTGCATGGCAGCAGCTCAGGTTTGAGACATTCCATCCTGCTGGGCTGCACGCCCCCTCAACCCCGCCACCAGCTCCTCTGAACCCCTGCCCTGGTTCCTAGGGTTTCACGCCGTCTTTGACTGCCCTGTTCTTGCCTTTGCAGCCAGAGCCCAAGCCTGGAGACCTGATTGAGATTTTCCGCCCATTCTACCGACACTGGGCCATCTACGTTGGTGATGGATATGTGGTCCATTTGGCCCCACCAAGTAAGAGGGCCCTGGGGGCTTCCACTTTGCTAGTCCTGGTGGGTGGGGAGAGGAGGGGGATTGGTGAGCTATGGGTGATGGTGACCCCAGGATGCTCCTGGCTCCCTGATTCAGTGTTACTAGTTTGGTGTGGGGCAGTGGTTTCCAAACTCTGCCCCTTTGGTTGTTCTAGTAGGGGCTGAGGTGGGCATATGCATAGGGCTGCCCTATGCTTAGGCACCGTGGCCTTGTACAGGACACCCACCTGGGCCTCCTTTTGCTGTTGGGCAGCGATGGACTTGGTGCGCAGAGCCGATAATCACACACATGGACTACGGACTGAAGGTTAATAGCCGAGGTTTATTGGTAGTTTCAGGCTTTTGTGAACTGAGGGTCACATAGGATGAGGGAGGAAGGTTGGGGAGTTCCTATAAGCTTAGCTATATAAATTCCATCAATTGTTTCCACACCCTAGCCTGGAAATAGCTCTGTTTTGTAAACTAGGCCTATAGATCCAATCACCTGTCCTCCCACGGTCTCCCACGTGAGACCCCAAACTTGAGCCATCGTCTGCTGCTCTCCCAGGCCACTAGCAGGGAGATGGATCAGAAGTGGAGCAGCCAGGACTTGAACCAGAGCTCTGACAGGGATGCCTGGATTGCAGCTGGTGGCTTAGCTCATGCCACCATGCCGGCCCCACCTTTGCTTCTTTATCTGAGGCTGACAGAGAATGCCCCACCTTTTTCCGGAAGCTTTTTACTGAACTAGGGTTTTACATTAGTGTAGCAAAAACTTTATCAGCAAAGCAAGCTTACATCCATGTTTGTGTGACCATGACCCAATCAGGATCTAGAACATGACCATGGCCCGAGAGCCTCTTGCCCACTCCGCCCAGGTGACCGCTGTTCCAGCTTCTAGAACTCGGTGGAACAGGAAACGCAGAGTCTGTGCTTTTGATTCTGGCTGCTTCCATGTCACATGACCTCCACGAGGGCCTGCTGTCTGTTGAGTCTTGGCTGTGTGTTGCTTAGGGTGGTGTGCAGACACCACAGGCATATTTCTGGTTGGCTCTGGGTTGGCTGCCATGAACACAGCTGCTAACCCACATCCTCCCTGTGTCCTTACAGAGAAACCAGAGGTATTTAGAGTAGATGCCATCTCCACCCCCATCAACCCAGCCCCATTTTCTTTAAAATGCAGAAGGTGACCCTGCCCTTATTAAAAAAATAAATAAATAAGAGTCCCTAGTGAGTGGGACCTGGGACGCTCCCTCCCTCCAACCCTGCAAGTGGAGTCACTCCCAGTGACACAGAGACACACACCTTTCCCCGGGAACCTTCCGCAGAACACATCTGCTCACTGTCCCTTCTCAGTGGGAGGGTTAGGATTCATTCCGGTCCTCTCTGAGTTCCTGCTTCCCTATCAAGGCCAGCAGAAGACCTTCCAAGGCTCCACGAATCCGGAGGTCTTTATTTCGGCTCACCTACTTGGCTCTTGGTAGCTTTAATTTTTTTTCCCACAACTTTCAGAAAGTGATTTTGGCGTCTATTGGTTCACTCCCTAAATGCCCTCAACAGCTGGGACTGGGCCAGGCTGAAGCCAGGAGCCAGGAGCCTCCTCAGGGCGCCCCATGCGCCTGGCAGGGCACTGCAGCTCTGAGCAGCTACCTCCCAGGAAGCCCATGGGCAGTGGAGGAGCTGGGACCAGGCCCTCCTGGCTTCCCAAGCGGCTAGGCTAGCCAGCTGCTGCTCAGAATGCCCACCCCTTTCGGTAGCTTTGATGTGAGTGTCTGCTGTTTACTTGTCTCCCATGGAGTCCTTTTGCTTAATCTCCTGAGGGCAGGAGGTGGGGGCGGGGCACCCCCGGTGTCCCTAAGTGGACGCAGGACATTGCCTGGCGGCTCCCAGCGTCTCCTTTCCTCTAAACCCTTGCTCTCTATTTCGACCTCCTGCTTGGCCTCCAACTTGTGCAGTCTCCACTTGGGCGTCCCCTGAATGGAAGCCTGTAACCTGTGACGTCACCTGGCTGCTTGCGCCCAAGCTGTAGCTATTCTTTTTTAAGATTTATTTTTATTTGAAAGGTAGATTTACAGAGAGGCGAGACAGATTTTCTGTACTCTGATACACACCCCAAATGGCTGCATTAGCCAGAGCTGTTTCAATCTCAAGCCGGGAGCCAAGGAGCTTCCTTTGAGTCTCCCAGGTGGGTGTAGGGGTCCAGGGGCTTGGACCATCCTCCGCTGCCTTGCCTTCCCAGGCCACAGGCTGGGAGCTGGTGCCCATATGGAGGATTAGCCTGATATGCCACCGTGCTGGCCCCTGGTGTTTGTCTAATCCTGGTTGCTGTTTGTCTAATCCACCACGAAATCCCGTTGGCTTTTTTTCTTTCAAGTTGACTGTGGATCTCACTGCTTTTTAGCATCCTTCACGGCAGCGCCCCCTGGTGTCCAGGGCCACTGTCTGCACCTGCTTTCATTGGCGCCCCTGACTGGTCTCCCTGCCTCTTGCCCGCACAGGGCGGCCAGCACGCTTGTTCTAAGGAATAAATTGGGTCCTGCCACTCTTCTGAGAACTTCTGTACCTGCAGAGAAAGCCTCCACGTCTGTGCTGTGGGCTAGGGGCGCCAAGTGGCTGCTGCCCAGCATCACGCCCTTCTCTTCCCTCCTCCATCTCTAGATGTCATCCACGTGGGTCTCCCGGCTGCCTCCCCAACCTGCCCAGCCCCATTCCTTCCTGAGGCCTTGGCCTTTGCTGCTCTGCCTCCATCACCGTCTTCCATGTCAGTTTATTTCATTATCTCATGGCATCCTCCAGGGTCCTGGAATATCTTATGCTGTGTGTTTGTTCTTGCGCAGGAATGTGGGCTTCTCTGGGCAGGCATGTGTCTAGTTCACACCACTTGTCTCCAGCACGAGGCCTGGCACTTTGTGGGAATCAGTGCTGACCACCTGCACCCTGTGGGTATACCTGGAGACAGCTGGCAAGGACAGGCAGGCAGGCAGGGCCTTGAGTAGACAGGTTGACATGGCACGGAGGGCAAGTGATGCTCAAGACACTTTCTCCTGTGTCCATGCTTTGCAGGGACCCAGTGGCATGGCGGAGGCCAGGAGGACTGGTCGGCTACTGCAAGCGTCATGGAGTGGGAAGGAAACTTAGCAACAAACACAGTGGTAATAGCAGCTAGCACTTGCTGTGTCCGATTAGGGGAGGCGCCCTGTATGGCTGCCAGGAAAGAGGCAGAAAGGAGGGCAAGAGCGAGAGAAAGAGATAAAAGAGTGAGCAAGCATCTCCTATCCACCGACTCATTTCCTAGATTCCTACAGCACTGTGTCCCAGGGTGGGGCCAAAGTTGGGGTGCAAGGAAGGCTGCCCAGGTGTGCCGTGTGGGTGGCAGGCACCCACTCACCTGAGCTGTCACCGTGGCCTCAAGGAGTGTGCGCTGGCAAGAGGTCGCAGTCAGGAATGGAGCTGGCAGCCAAACCCAGACACTCCAACATGGGATGTGTGTTAGCTGACGTCACACCTGCTAACTAATGACCTGCCCCCAGTGACTGTTAGTCCTCACAGCTCCCCATGCAGCGGGGACTGCCATGATCCCCATTCTACCAGGAAGCAGGTTTCAGGGCTGAGGGGCTGTTCAGGCTCACGGGGTGGTAGGTGGCATGAGTGACACTCTGCCCTCACAAGCTGGATCACTGATTCTGTGCTTATGTGCCTGGCCTGACACTTCCTGGTTTACCATAGCCATGTCTTTTCTGTGATTGTTTTCTTAATATTCTCTTTAAGAGGCTAATGTAATGAAGCAATGAGTTGGAAAAGAACTGTAGGTTCCTGTGTTGATGTGTATTCTTGTAGCGATGTTGGTGGCTCAGCTAAGATCAGTGACCTGTGCAGACCCCTGAGGTGGTCAGGCATGGGGGAGTCTCTGGTGGCACCTGTGTGTGTTGCAGCCCTGGGGGTGGGGCTGGTGGACACAGATGAGTGTTGGTTCTGCTCACATGGCCCTGGAACTGGTTCCACCTTGAGTTTTGATACTCCTAGCAGTTTTGTAGCTCACCTTTGTCCTAGCCCTGTCACCCACCTCACACTCAGGGCTCTAGTAATGTACCCTGTCTCCCATGAACCTCGGTGGCCTGTCATCACTGTCCTTAGCAGGTGCCAGACTCCTGCTCTTCTAAAATACCAGGAGGGCACCAAGGGTGAGAGGCTTGGCTTCCTTGGAAAGCCAAGCATGGCCTGGAATCCCATCGTCCCTTCCTGCCAAGGCTGGTGGTCTCTGTCACATGGACGTCGCAGCAGTAGCCTGTCCTGTCCAGTGAAGCAGGGGCCTTAGGACCAGGCCTCAGTGATTCTTTTAAGGTTTATGTCTTGGGCTGCAGCTGTGGTTAATCCTCTGCTCTGACACTGGCATCTCGTATGGATATTGGTTCAAGTCCTGGCAGTTCCACTTTCCATCCAGCTCCCTGCTTGTGGCCTGGGAAAGCAGTAGAGGATGGCCCAAAGCCTGGGACCCTGCGCCTGCGCGGGGAACCCAGAAAGAAGCTGAAGATCTCTGTGTCTTCTTCTGTCTATAATTCTGATTTTTAAATCAAAGCAAACTAAAAAAAAGATTTATCAAAAAGGCAGAGTGAGACAGAAGGGGAGGCAGACACCTTCCATCTGCTGGTTCACTCTCCAGTGGCCTACCCAGCTAACCTGGGCCACGATGCTGGCCCCCCGATGGAGCTTCAAGGACACGGAACCTCTTCTCAGGATGCTTCTGGTCTCCTGGGTCCTGTTTTGCCCACTTGCCTGCCCACATCTTAGCCACCACATCCAATACCCATGCTTACCCTGCATGGTGCAGACTGGCTGCCTTGGGAGTGATGCCCACTCCGTGTGGGCAGCCTCTTCCCTTGCTGCCATCCTGGTCCTTGTGGTCGACCCCATATACTGTTCCCCTTCTCTGTAGGCCTCAGCTTTGTGCAGTCCAGGGGCAGTAGCCCTGCTGGAACCCTGTCCTTCCTGCAGGACAAGTGAGCATGTGGCTCGTGTCTGCCTCATCAAGAGGGCCACGCAGGTATTCTGGGATGCATTTTCCTCAAGTCACTCTAAGTCAGGGGCCTTCTCCACCAACACACAGAGACTCCAAGTGACCTCTCCAAAGCCGCACAGCTGTGCTTCTGACCCCTCTCTCCTGGCCCTTCCACATCTCGTCCATCCCCTCCATCTCCTGGCTCTGAGCCCCCATGGCTCCTGCCCAGGACTGATCTTTCTGTTTTTCCCATGGTTGTCCCACAGGTGAAATTGCAGGAGCAGGTGCAGCCAGCATTATGTCTGCCCTGACCGACAAGGCCGTGGTGAAGAAGGAGCTGCTGTACGATGTGGCCGGGACAGACAAGTACCAGGTCAATAACAAACACGATGACAAGTACAGCCCGCTGCCTCCCAGCAAGATCATCCAGCGGGCTGAGGAGCTGGTGGGCCAGGAGGTGCTGTACAAGCTGACCAGCGAGAACTGCGAGCACTTCGTCAACGAGCTGCGCTACGGAGTTCCCCGCAGCGACCAGGTGTGTTCCAGTGCCTGTCCCCTCGCTGCGCTGGCAGCAGCTGGGCATCAGTGTGGATGGAAGTGGAGCCATGCACAAATCAATGATGGGCACCTGCCCTGGCAGATGTGACGGGTGGGGAGGGTGGGGCAAGAGAGTGGAGCCAGGCAAGTCGCCGTACAGGTCAGGATGGTTAGCAGGATGGACAGCCACGGTGGTCAGACTTGTTCCTAAGTGTTCCCAGGCTCTGGGATGCTGAGATGCCCCCTTCCCACAAACCAGGGGACAGTAATGGGTTCTGTTATCCCCACTTGAAAGACCAGGAAACTGAGCCTTGCAGAACTCATCACCTGCCTGTGACTGTTCGTGCCATCAGGACTGTGTTGAGTCTCCCTCCTCAGGGCTTCCTTCCCCTCTGGGTTTTTGGCAACTGAGCACAGGTGGGATTTGGAATCAGGTGTGTTTGACACAGCCTCATTGTGCCCATGTCTTCAGGTGAATCCCGGAGACCCCAGGGATGTGGTGTTATTCAGAGACTCGGGTTTGATTCTGGCCATGCTCTCTTCCTGGAATCTCTTCCTCCTTCCCACGAGGGATGATGTTAAGATCAACTGGATTGTCTGCTCTCACTGAGTTTGTAAAATTGCTCAGACTGATCTCTTCTCCTTTGGGTGCTGTGGTCGAGGGCTTGGACTCCCTAAGTCAGGCAGACCCTGGCTGGATCTGGGCTCTGGCTTTGGCCAGCTCTGTCGGTCAGCGTTTGAGTCCCACAAGGAAAACACCCATGCAAATGGCCTATGAAGGGATGAGGTTTGTTTTGACCCAAGGTTTTGCAACTTCAGAGGTCAAGATGTAGAGGTCGCTGTTGGTGTGGCAGTCCGGTGAGGCCAGAGGATGGCCATGGTGAACCATGAATGGAGGACAGAGAGTGTTCAGGCCCTACTGGGCTTTCATAACCAACCCATTCATGAGAACACCTCAGCTGGGCTCACCTCCCATGACCGAACGCCTCCTGCCAGGCCCATCTCCCAAGACGCCATAAGTGGATTAAGTTTCCACCAGTTGAACACTCTCCAATCGTGACCTTGGGCTTGAGTTGGGTCATTTAGCAAATGACTTGGGGTGATTCATTTGACCTTGGGAGATGTAGCTAAGTACAAATTATCACAGCAGTCATGGAGGGTTGCCATGTGGCTGGTGCGAGGGCGTTAGCTTCCCACACAGGCCCTCATGTCTCTCAGAAAGTCCCTATATCCTGCTGTGATGAGATGTTAGGCATGTTCCAATCATCAGCCTCTCTTGTTTAACTCTGGATATGAATGTCAAACGTGATTACCATGAGTCTCAGCTAGCAGGAGTCCATCTAAGTCATTAAGGGAAGGGCAGTGGTTACCTGTGTTTGGTCCTTGAGTTCAGTCCAGCTCGTTTCCCTGAGAGTTTGGTTATGAGTGACCTTTGGGGGACAGTTGTGGGAGAGGGACTTTGTCAACATCTGTGTCATGCCACGTCACAAAGGTGACGAAGGAGAGGACGGGTCTGGGACCATAGCGCCAGCACATCTGTCTGGGAGGGGGCCCGCGACCTTCAGAATGTGGGTCACCCCTTTTCTAGTGTTCTGGAGATTCCTTCTGGCTCTCGCCCGTGTCCCTGTGGGTTTCCTCAAGGGCTCACAGGCGTCCTTTCTTGGCTTGAAGCCCTGTTTTGGGGGAACTGGCGTCCATGCTGGTTTACGGAGAAATGGTTGCTCATTTCCGTCTTATCCTCGCATTTGACTGACAGCTTGCCTGACTGTGGATTCCTAGGTTGGAATTAATTTTATTTTCCAGATATTTGAAATCATTGCCTCTTTGTTGTCTGGCCTTGGTGAAGGAATCTGAAATTGTTCTGACTTCTAAACTGTGGGATGTGACCCACTTTCCCTTTCTACAAGCCTATGGAATCCTCTCTTTTCCCTTAAGTGTTCTTAAATTTCACTGTGAAAAGTTTTGCTTGTTTAGTTATTTGAAGGCAGAGAGATAGAGAGATAGATTTGAAGCCAGGAGCCAGGAGCTTCCTCTGGGTCTCCCAGGAGGGTGTAGGATCTCATTTGGGCTGTCCTCTGCTGCTTTCTCAGACCATAATCAGGGAACTGGATGGGAAATGGAGCAGCTGTGACACAAAACAGCAACAACATGGGATCCTGGTGCTTGCTGGAGGAGGATTAACCAATTGAGCCATTGCGTCTGGCACTCTGATTTATTTTGAATATGATTTATTTAAATGGGGGAGAGAGAGGTAGATCTTCAGGCCATTGATTTACTCCTCAAATAGCCACAATAGCCACGTGTGGCCCAGGATGAAGTGGAGAACTCGGGAACTCCATCTGGGTCTCCTACATGGGTGATGGTGGCCCAAGTTTTTGGGTCATATTCTACTGCTTTGCCAGGATGCAATAGCAGGAACCTGGATCAGAAGTGGAGCAGTCAGGACATAAAGCAGTGCTGCCATATGGGCTGCCAGAATCACAAACAGAAACGGAACCCTCTGCGTGGTAATGCTGCCGCCTCCCTCCCAACTCTTGATGCAGACAGACAAGGAATCTTTTCTACCGTGTGTTCATTTTGGAAGTAGTAATTTGACTCTTCTTTGAAAAATGAAACAATATGAATTAGACATATTGCACTTTGGTTTCTGTGGCTTTCATTCTATGTACTCACCAATTCCATTGACAAAGGCAAAATGGTGATGAGAGAGCATGAACCATATCACTCTGAACAATGCTACTCGCCTCATTGTGTCCTACAAAACCAATAGACAGGCCATCTATTGTGTTTCACAGATTCCTCCAAAGGCAGGAGCTTCCTCCAGGTTTCCCATATGGGTGCAGGGCCCCAGGGACCTGGGTCATACTCTTCTGCTTTTCTAGTCCACAAGCAGGGAGCTGGATGGGAAGTGGAGCAACTGGGACATGAACCAGCGCCTATGTGGGATCCCAGCACTTGCAGATGGAGCCAATTGAGCTATTGCACTGGACCCTCTATTTTTTTTTTTTTAAGACTTACTTTATTTGAAAGTAGATTTCCAGAGAGAAGGAGGGACAGAGAGAAAGATCTTCCTTCTGCTGGTTCATCTCTCCAAAAGGCCACATTGGCTGGAGCTGAGACAACCAGGAGCCATGAGTCAGAGTCAGGAACTGGCCTCCAAAGACTCATTTTTATGAGTTGGTTAGGATGAGGATGATCAACCTCAGCACCATTGACATTTTGGGTCAGGTGATTTGTGCCCTGCCATGTGCCTTGGGGAAGGTTGAGTACCCCTCAACACTGCGAGGTGTAGGAACCCAAAATGCCTCTTCGCTGGGCCAACCCATCTCCATCTGAGAGCTGCTGGCCAAGGTGGGTAAGATGCCAATGTGAGCTGTGAGCAGTTACACTGAGGTAGCAGTGTCTGGGCAGCTCTGCAATGCTTTCTCTTGTAAGAGCTCTCACAGGGGCTGGCACTGTCATGTGGCAAGCTAATTCTCCACCTGTAAGTGCTGGCATCCCATATGGGCGCCAGTTCACGTCCTGGCTGCTCCACTTCCCATCCAGCTCCCTGGATGGAGTTTTGGACTCATGGCTTCTGACTTGGCACAACTCCCAGCTGTTGTGGCCATTTTGGGAGTGACCTAGCAAATGGAAAATTTATTTCTTGTTCTCTCTCTGTAAAATATGTCTTTTAAGTAAAATATTAAAGATATGCCCAATGGTAATATACAAATGACACAAATCTGGATCAACAGAGGGTGTTATTTTGAAATTACTACAAATGAAACCTGATTCCTATACAAACATTTTGTGAACCAGCACAGTCTAAGTGCAGTTGCTTTCAGGGTAAGTCTGACCTTCCTCTTGCCATTAACCTACTTAGAACAGTGTTGAAAGGGAAAGTACAGTTTTAGCTCAGAAACGGCTCAGGAGTCAGACATGTGCTCTGTGGTTCACACAGCACCACGTGTAGCAGGCTAGAATTCAGCTGCTTTGGAAAAATCAGGTTTCTTTACCATTTCTCCTTCTCAAATTATTTATTTTTATTTGAATAACAGAGTTACAGAATGAGAAGGAGAGACACACAGAGAGAGGTTTTCATCCACTGATTCACTCCCCAAAAAGCTGCAACAGCCAGAGCTGGGCTGGTCCAAAGCCAGGAGCCAGGAGCTTCTTCTGGGTCTTCCCACGTGGGTGCAAGGTCCCAAGGCTTTGGGCTGTCCTTGACTGCTTTCCCAGGCCACAAGCAGGGAGCTGGATGGGAAGTAGAGCAGCCGGGATATAAATTGGTGCCCATATGGGATCCCGGTGCATTTAAGGTGAGGACTTTAGCCACTAGACTACCACATGGGGTCCACTTGAGTGGGTTTGATAGTTCTGAGAAGTTGTTGCTTTCATCGCTCCAGAGTTGACAGAATCTTTCTAAGGTCTACGGGTTGACAAAGTGCGTCTGGACATGCTGCCCACTCAACACTATGCACAGAGCGTGACCACAGGCAGCTTGTCTACCTCAACAAAGCGTGTGTAGTGATGGACCTGCTGCGTCAGCATTTGCCCCCCCCCTTGTGAGGTTCTGAACAAGCTGGGGGCAAGGTATTCCTCCTCTGTGACATGGTGACACAGCACTCCACACAGCGAGTGGTCTTATGCAGGTTAACCCACTGGAATCATGGCTGTGCTGCACATGCTTCATTATCTGGAAGAGGAAGGTATGTTCATTCATTCATTCATTCATTCAGCGTTTGAGAGGGAGACAGAGCGAGAGCGAGGGAGTGCTCCCTTCTCTTCTATAACAGCGAGGCCAGGCCAAAGCCAGGAGCAGTAAGTTCAGGACATGTCTGCCCAAGGATGACGGGGCCTTGACCACTTGAGCCATCCCTGGCTGCCTTCCTGGGTGTGCACTAGCAGGCATACAGAGTAGGGAATCACAGAGGGGACCCATGACGCAGCTAACTGCAAAGTTAAGGAGGACAGGTGAAAGCAGGATGACCGTCCAGCCTCGGGTGGGAGGCGCCA